AGCTGTTAAAGTTGAAGATTATTTTTCACTAAAATCAACTAACTTTCGTGCTAATTTATTTCCCAGAAAAGCACGCATGTGTAACCTTAATATTTGCACGTCACTTGCAGACATCTCTACGTCCTCCATGTTTGGTTTGATCTTTCTAACTTTGCTATGGCATGATCTATCAGCGTCGGAAGGTTGAGTGTAAATAGTTACAGAGCTCCGATACATGATAGAAGTAGGTAGTGTTATCAAAATTCAATTAAAAAAAATGTGAGGATCAGGATATCAGAAATGGATAACAAGTTAAAAGTAATTGAGATTGATATTTATTCGTGAACACTGCCTAGCTATCTTATATACGTTTCCTGATCATCAAGTATTATTATTCCCGAGCATACGAGTTATCATTATGTCCATGTGTGTATTATCTATGTCTTTGTTCTATATAAGCTACAATCAATGTCAATGCAATGCAATGCAATGCAACTGTAAAAGTGACCGATGTTTGTTTATTAGGAGATATAGGAAGTATTGTGGTTTACCACAAGCACGTTTTTCTCAAACTTCCTTATCGCCTGTGTACTCTCAAAATAAACCCTTTCCAACACTTGTAGTATGTCAACCAATCCACAGCAATGCCTAAATTGAATGCAGCTTGCAAGATGGGGAAGCGGAACAAGATGGTAAAAGGAAGAGGAGCACAAGCAGTGCATGTGAGGGATCCAACTTTTTACGTGTGGCCAAGCGGACCTTCTGCATCATGCATACAGCGTGTTTGCTAGTTGCTTACCCATATTATTCTTAGCATCCATCGTCATCCTCACCCTTCATATTATCTCCTTCTCGCACCATCTTTATTTCTCCCACCACCATCATTCTCTTGCCAACCCACCAACAATACGACACCCGCCAACCAAAATTACTTCACCCTCCACCATTTTTATTTCCCAACCCACCAACATTACGCGCCCGCCAATCAAAATTATTCCTCCACCCGCCATCTTTATTTCACTCGCCGCCATTGTTCTTCTGCCAGCCCACCAACATTGCGACACCTGCCAACCAAAATTACTTCTCCACCCACCATCTTTAACACAACCACCCACCAACATTATCTTGTCACCCTCCAAAATAAAAGTGCGGTTGAAGGAAAAGATAGGTCAGCACATTTCAATCCAATGTACCCACCTACGCATTGTACCTGGTACATTCGTCAACCATGCTATATATACTTCCAAACATGGGGATTCCTGTCATAAATTCCGCTTGAGCCTCCGGCCTCGCAGTGGGGAGATAACGCCATTTCTTTTCGTGGTAACATGTCTAAAATTCGACCTTGCTGAACGTGGTACGCAAAATGTACTCCGATACCGCTCATAATTGATATCAATGTGCCGCCGTGCTATCCAAAATTGCGAAAGCAAACCGCATGAAGGTAGCTATGATAGATCAGAAGATATGGTAGAAAAACCAGGAAATTTCACTCAAAACCGACTAAGTCAGAAACATCCCAGTCTGAGGTGCAGTGAAATCGTGCCCTACGTGCATAAAACTTACACAGGAGTTGCTCCCCGATGCCAGGCTCTAAATGGGAAATTTATTTGCATCGGCGCTTAAAAATAAATAAACAATCGCCCCCCAAAGTCTTCATCATCGCAGTAGATAGGTACCTTACACTACATAGTGCTTCAATGCTATGATGGATAACATTACTCCTACCAGTTACAACTTGTAAATTTATGATTTTGCAATAGCAAAGAACAAAGTAGTTACGACGTGGCTTTCTTTTACGGTTAACTAGCCTATAACTGCCATCATGCTCATCATCATGCTCACTTTCAGTCTCCCATCCATCTTCGTCTAAAAACGAAGTTAGCATAAATATAGTACTACAGGTCATATGATGTACCTCCAAACTCCGAATCATCGTGATCCAAATCGGCACGTTCACGACGCACTTCTGTGTAAATGAACTCCTCATCTACATCATCTTGTGCAGCAAACTTGTCAAAAGATACCTCCTTTAATGCCTTGACAACACCACCCCAAAGGTCATTTGCGTGCTTGCGCCGGAAGATAAGTCAGCAAGGCGGTACTTCATTGTTGGAGCTGTACGATGGCGGGCACGAATAAGGGACTTGATGCCATTCCATGTACCTAGTGCATTAAGTGCGTTATTACAAGTATCGCTTAACATGGTATCAAACCTTACCTTCAATGGTATTGGTATGCACACCGGCCACAGTTTTGAACTCCTTTGCATGGCTCACAGTCTTATGACGGTACTGCTTACCAGGCAAACGCGACAAACCACAGTATCCTTTCCAACAATCGGTACGGATTTCACTACCTGCCTTGATGTAGTTTCCCAAGATCAAATGGAGTGTATCCTTCTTGCGGTCTTCGACAGTGGTCAAGAACAACTTGCGATCAGGCGTTTTCTCAACGCCACTAACAACCCAAACACCTTCAACACGATGGCCTCGATGACTCTTGCGTTTTCCGAATTTTGATTCATCCACCTCGACAATGATGGAGTTCCCATCGCTATCCTTTCCACCTATTTTAAATTGGCATAATTAATAACTACGCAACGCTACTTTTATATACTCGAGCATACCGATAGTCACATCGTCATCCTTGATATCGGCATTCATCAATCTATAAAGTAGATGGATGACTGTGCGCACAGTAGGAGCACTAGCACCAGTCAAATCCCTAATACCCTTCATCTCGACCTTATAAAGGTAAAGCCAAATGATCCCAAGCACTTGATGCATACCAATCTTGAGGCCAGAGAAAAAGCTGCCTTCACGAAGTGACTTTTGCTGCCGATTGCAACCTTCACAGGGCCTATGGGTGCATTTCCACACGAGTTGGGGATGCCCATTCTTGCTAATCTCCATCATGCTCATGTTGTATCCAGCCTTGCACTTCATGGATTGCACATAAACCTTTTCTTGATACAACCATCTATAATCTAGTTTAAATGCGTATCCACCAATACATGTCCATGTAGAACATGTTGTAGGACATTTCCGGACTTAGGACATATCCCGATATGTCCTAGGACATTTCAGGATTCCAAAACGTCCTAGGACATTTCAGTCGTCGGTGCAGGTACCGAAGACAAAATTTAAGTAATTTATTAAAAATAAAATTTAAGTATGCTATTTAAAATATCTAAAGTACTAAAACTGGAAGGAATTAAAAAATATTTATCTCAAGACAAGCGAAGTTCATCCTCGGACATGTTGGTCATATATATACCCCTTTACCATTTTATGATAGTGACACCTCTATATTCAAAATACATTACTTCCTTTTGTTTGCTATACATGTATCATCAAAACCCTTTAAGCGCTCCTGAAAATGACATCCATTTGCGTTTTCCTTTGATGCGTACAAGTAATTTTGTTATCATTTTACTGGCAAGGGTATGCACTGCAAGCTTATATATGGTGAAGAGCATACATGTTTAAAAAGTCAAGGACACAATTGGGACTGATATTTATGTATGATAAAATGATAATCTGGTAACCATGATACTTGATAGCGCTACCTTCATTATATTGCGACATGCTCTACTCGTCGTCTAGATGATCGTGTTTGCCGTGTTGTTTGAGAACGTGTGATGCGTCTAGGACCAATCGGACGTTTGCTTTGCGTCTTGCGCCTTTTGTTATGGCCAT